TTTGGGGTGTGGCAACCTATAAGTTAAATTCATGAATTAATAACACTCAAATTAAACATATTTCTCACAAAAATTAATGAACTTTTACAAAAATACAAAATCAAGCAAACTCCTTCTGACAAACATTTTGTCAAACACCTTTTGTGTATTAACATTTAAACTGAAAAAACTTTTTCCTCTTTGATTTCATCTCCCAAAACTTCTCTAACACAAATATTTAAATAAATCAACTTCCTAAATTTCATTTCCTCAATGAATAAATCAATCTTAACTTAAAGGAAAAATAAATAAATTCTCATCTTCCATATTTCTAACGGCAAGACATGGCAAGAAAATGTCACAGCCACAACAAAAATCACAAGAAGAAGGATTGAAGCTTCTCACCTCACTCAACGTGACAGAGCAAAGAGGCAAGATATCGAGCGGATGAACAGAGCAAGAGGAAATAAAAAAAAAATCTGAACAGCGAACAGAGGAAGAGCTCAAACGATATGTCACACAAATGAGGAGAAGGAATCGACAGCTTCGACGGTCATCAGAACAGCATCGACGCTGTCGGATCTCCAACAAAAGCCCAACTCTTCACATGCTTGTATTCCTTGACCGAACAGAATGGAGAAGGAAAGAGTAGAGCTCAGCGACGAGAAGCAGAGGAGAAAGAAGCTGCTGCAAGCTGGGCAGACAGCGATGACACACACACTCTGACGACGTTGAGGACGAACAAGGAGGAAGAAGAAGATGGAGATGCCAGAGGTGTTCTTCGATTCATCTGCTCTGTCTCTCTCTCGATGGTTCTCGGATAAAATCAAATGGGGAATGAAGAAGACAAACGTGCATGTCCATCTCTCTCTATTTATTTATTTATTTTAACAGAAGGGCAATTTAGTAATTTTTCCTTAAGCTAAAGCTGGAAAAAAAAAAAAAATTCCCACTCTTGGCCTCATGAATCAAACGTAGAATCTGTTACTCGTATAGCTTGCATGAAGTCCACTAGACTACAATTCCCTTTTGACTTTAAAAATAATAAAAATACACTTTAAACATCTTATCATAATTTAATTAATTAATTTTATTATATTATTACTACTTTTTTTATTATGGTCATTACGCTATTGCCAAGAACTAAACATTCAACTTACTGAATCGCATTAATGCATGTTTGAAATTTATCTATCTCAGACTTGAAAAATGCTCGTACGTGCCAAAACTTTAATGATCGCTATGTAGTACTATTTACCAATGATGGATCATGCAAGAAGCACCCTCTTACCTTAAAGGAAAAAGGGGATAGAATTACCATGAAAATGTTAATATGCTGTGGGCTCTAGATCATGAAGGAGCTACAGTGCATGATATACGTTGGGCTCGTTCTTATAAAAACATTATCTAATTATTAAACTCATGGAGGGTCCCAAATAATATATCCAACTCTGGTCGCAAGTATGAGTTCGAACAATGTGAAACCTGTAGTCCAAAATAATTCTGTTATCTCAGCCTCCATTGAGTTATGTGTACATTTTTTTTTTTTTGAATGAGAGGCCACGAGTAAACCGTGCTATCCGACATGAAGAGTCATGTTATCGTACAAAAAATTCCTACAGCGTAAGGGCGCTGAATCCTAAATAAGTACATCAAAATTATCAGGAGAGGCTTGATGGGTCAGTTAATCTGTGCATTTGCTCATTTCTCTAAAAGTATGATCAAAGGTAACAGTGCAGTCTCACAAAATAAAATCTCTAATATCATTAATAGTAGTACAAAGTAGGTGATTGGTAGAGAATTCATTGTGAATTAATGATATAGCTTCAATAGAATTAGAGTAGACATTAGTTTTGTTAAATTTTTCAGCCCAACATATGTTAAATTTTTTCAAGATACCCATAAGTTTAGCTGCCGTACTTGAATGTTATCTAAGATATTTGGAGAAGCCTTTAATCCAAATTATGTGTGCTTTCTTCTCTAGGCCTGTTTGAGATTGAGTTATTCAACAAGCTAGATTATGTTATCTGGTCAAAAGAAGAAGAAGAAGGTAGATTATGTTAGATTTTGTTTGACTACTATATTACTAAAAAATTGTGTAGGTCCCAAATCGTTTCAATCGACAATCGGTTAAAATAAAAAATGATTACAATTTGTTTAAAATCAATAGAAAGTAGTAAATTTCACCGGAAAAAAAGGAAAGTAGTAAAAAAAAATTCACATGTAAAATTATAACAGTAATAACTAATATTATACTGTACAAATTTAATTACTTGCTTTATATATTTGACTATGGAACGAGAGCATTTTGATTGATACCTTGGAGTAAAGCAGATAGCAAAATAATTCACATTTCCAATCAACCAATTATATATTGTAATTTATTTTCATTAAATTTGTAAGTAATTTCCAATGAAACTTATCTGCGAGGCCAATTGCCGCCACTAAAGAGAAAATTTACACGCACTGTCAATCATTATGAGTTTTTTTTTTAATATCATGGGATTAATTTCTTTATAAAATCACAAAAGAGATACATTAGGGGAAAAGTGCATCAAATGCACCAATGACAATTACGAAGTCCTCACTCAATGAATTAAGTCTTAGCTGTATTGGTTGATATTCTCAATGGAGAGTTTTGAATCTACCCTAGGATCATTTCCATTTTAGCACTAAACTAGTGAAGGGATCATTAATCGTTAAAATTTTTTCTGGGCAAATATATATATATATATATATATATACACTTAGAGACTACGAGGAAATACTCAAATTAAGGAAATGGATTAGTTAAAGTTCGGAAGAGTTTTGGATAAGTGAGAAGGAATTTTTTAAGAAGGAGAATTTTGATGATTTTAAGAGTTTCCAAGCTTCAAAGTAGTTTTCATTTAGTCTTTAATGTATAATTGAAAATATAAAAAGTGAGATGTGACAGTAAATCTTCAAACGTGCTGACACAGAGACCACATACAGTTCAACATTTTGGAAGTGCTAATAATGAGAATCATACATAGAAAATCACTAGCTTAACCCAATTGATGCCCAGCTTTGTCAATCTAGAGATGAGTCAAGTCCAAATTCTAAATAACTATCACTCTCTACCAAGCATATGGAATAAGTCCCCAATCAAAGTTGGAAAGACAAACATCAAAGGAACTGGTTGAATTCCTCTCCATGTTTTCTACTAGAGCTAGACATTCCATTCCTCTAGTTTGGCTACTACATGGCTTATGTTTGGCCTTTGAATTGCATATGGTGGAGTGAAGACATAGCTATCTCCAACAATTTCCAAGCTGAATTGGTGCTGTAATTTTCTTGTAACTTTGGATCAATGATGGATTGGATATCCCCCATTTCAAGTCTAGGGGTAACCCAATGGAGAACATGACAAATGGTGCCAAGTTCTCTTCTTATTGCTGGTTGACCAATGATTAACTTGAGCAAAATTATCCCAAAACTATAAATGTCACTCTTTTTGTTCATGTTTCTGAAAGTGTGGAATCTACAAAAATGGTTATTGTTAGATTTCAAAACAAAAACACACTTTTTCAAGAATCATTTCAAATACTTTGAAATTAGTGCAATGAAGATCCAATTTTACCCACATGGAATCTAATGTACTCTACCACAAATCATATCAACTTCGAACCACGGGGGACTAACAAAATTAAAGCCAAACTAGACAATTGTAAAGTTCAAGTGGTGGCCTTGCAATTGGTATAAACATAATGAACATTTGACTTGGTAGTGAGTGGGTGATGTCGCACAACACTAGTACAAATTGGCAAATTTACACCGGTTAAAATAGCTTATCTACACTAGTTAGACCAATGTAGATATCATGGAGTTATCTACACCAATTATTTAACTGGTGTAGTTAATGGAGATATCTACACCAATTTTAAACCCGATGTGGATAACATTAATTATGAATATAATTTTTTTAAAAAAATCTATATCTACATTGGTTCTTAAAACACCTGGTGTAGATTGTAGATTATCTACACCGGTTACTTCTAAAACTCGATGTAGATTACAGAATATTTACATCAGTTGTTTTTAGAACTTGTGTAGATGACTTATATATCTACACTGATTATTACCAGAATGGTGTAGATATTATATAATCTACACCGGTTGCAGTTATAACTGGTGTAGATGAGTTAGATATCTACACCGGTTATTACTAGAACCGGTGTAGATATTGAATTTTTTTTAAAAAAAATACTCCCTTTTTTTTTTAATTTACCCTAGCCATGACAAGATGTAATTTAGATCCTGCATTAATCAAACATTTAATAGCTAGATAATAGCCAGCCAGCCAGACAATCATATATTGTTTAAATCAAATGAACTTAAAATTATGTAAATTTCAAACGCATAAAACATAAATTATTAACTAAGTAATCCTACACACAACTATAAATACCAATATTTACAATTGCACAACTCACTCTTCTAAAGGATGATTATTATGAAAATCTAACATGAAGAGTCCCCAATGTTGCCTAATTTGATGGATCTCTAAATTTGAAAATGGAGATGGATCATTGAACATATGAAAAGATTAAGGATAAGGGAATTAAATTAGCAATTTAAAGAAAACAAATAATTTTCACCTAAAATTAGATTTACCTCCTCAGTGAACTCAGTCAAACCAGCCATGATGATATTGTATGTAATGACCCTAAATTTTAAATTAAATTAAATTAAATTTTCTTTCAATTGATATTTTATTTAAATTAGTTTTATAGTAAGTGAAAAGTAATTGTTTAAGTGAAACTTATACTAGTAACTTTTTTAAAGATCCAGAGTTCAAATTCTATTGAGAAAAAGTTTGATTTTATTTTATTTTAAATTATAAAAAATTTTGTATCCTTTTTTATAATTTTTCTCGCGCCTTTCTTGCAATTTTCCCATATTATTTTTAATTCAGATTTTGTTCTTCTTAATGTGTAAAGAACAGAGCATCATTTTCATTTCTTTCTCTTCACCAACATGAACTCTCTCTCTCTATTTCTCTTCGATCTTTCTAGCGAGCTCAGCTCACACTATTGTGCCTCTAGTCATCATTCTTCCTTCATTCTTCCTCCTTCCGCCAGCGTCCTCTTTAATCTCCAACACTACAGGTTCGATCTCAACTCTTTGCTCTGTAATTTTCGTTGATGTAGAGTGAGTTGTGTAGGCTTTATCTTCCCTTTCTCCTCATCTGCTGCCCGTGAATTTGTTAGTGGTCTTCAACTCCCTTCTTTACAGCTGCGCTTTTACAGACGGTGTGTTGAAAACGTGAGATTTCTTCCTCCGTCATCATCCCCTGTCTCTTTTCGGCTCTGTGGTCGATGGAGGTGCTTGTTGTGCGCCCTCAGTCTTCACCTCTTCATCCTTTCTCAGCTATAAGTATCACAGGGGTTTATGTGGTGAGCTCGGTCTCTCCTCTTCCTCTAGCTTCCGATGTTGTTCTTCATTTTCTAATTTTAGTTGTCGAAAATTTTTGTGGATATTGAGGTGCTGTTTCGCTTATGTTGGGTGTTACTTTATTTTGATATTGAGCTGAATCTGGGTTGTGGAATTAAATACTTGAAGTTGTTAGAAGATTTGAATGTTGATTTCATGATTTAGCTCATGGTGGAAACTCAAGCTATTTGTCAAAACGCTTGAAAGAATGTTTTTAAATTGGTATAATATAGCATTGAAGGATCAGATGTACGGTTACTTGAGCTATTGTTTGAAATTTCAAAATAGCAAAGGAGGAGAGAATTACATCTAATGCTTGTATAGTACTTGATTAAGTCTAAGCGAATGATAAGAATAGTTGATATGGTCTATCATGATTTATAATTAAAGATGGTTTACAAAGAGGCATAAGGATGGATTAAGATTTGTCAAATAGTTTAATTGACTCAAGTGTAATTAGAACTCAAATGAAGACAGTGCTCTCTTAATTAATACTTACAAATTGATTATTGGTATATTGTGAAGCGTGAAGTTGCATATGATTCGGTTTATATTATGTTTTAAGGTATTCGAACATAAGAGTTGGTAGAAATATGATTATTTAATTTTCATAATAGGACCTAGAGGAACTATAAATGTTGCTTGATGGAATACATGTCTTTATATACAATTTGTAAATTTGAACTACACATGAGAATCTTGTAGCACCTAAAGTGAAATTGTTAAACTACATGGTAATTAAGATTTTTGTTAAGTTTGAAATAAGAGTTGAGTTAATTATTACAGTTGAATATTGCTAAGTATTGTTGGACTACTTGATCAAAGTTGTAGGAGGGTTTAGTTAGAGTTTAAGGGATTAATGAGAAATTTAAAAAATTATTGAAGAGCTTGAATGTTAATTTTACTTGCTTATAAAAAAAGAAAAATCATAATGATACAAAGATTACTGGTTTATGTGCTAGATTATTTGCAGTATCACTAAAGTAAATGAGAATTTGAGGAGGTCAAACTGTAAGATTCTTGAAAAACCCTCAAGTGAGTGGGTAGTGTTCCGGATAAATTTCTAATAAACTGTTTATAAAATTTCTTTATTTAAATTTTACTATTATTCCTTTATATTGTATAAATATCCTTATTAATCCTATTTTTCTACTGATTGTCTTACTGACGAAAATGTTTTGATCTTATTAATAATTTATATTAATAAAGAGAGGCACCAGTGAGAAGAGTGAAACATATAATTTTGAGTCCGATTAAGAGAGGTAGAGAAAGGCCTAAGAGAACACTTTTGGAAGTTATTGAACGCGATCTGTTAATTAATAATATTTCTAAAAGCTTGATAAATGATAGAGCACAATGGCGTCTTGCAATCCATGTAGCCGACCCCATCTAGTGGGATAAAGGCTTGTTGTTGTTGTTTGTTGTTGTTGTTATTAATAATTTATATTGCTGATAAGTAATGATTGAAAATGATATATAATAAATGGTATTATTTTTCAAAAGTAGTTTAATTACTTAATTCTATTTTGACATAAAAATGTTTATGCAATGATTTGTGTATGAAGGAAGTGATAACAAATTTGGGCAATGGAAAGAGATAGTTAAATAGTGTTTGAAAGTAAAAGTTTTGAAATTATTTTTCTTGCTCCATACGCGCTGGATTTTACTAAGGGGGACTGAATTCAGTACGCTAGATGCTAACGGCAATTCCGTTAGCCCTTTGTGCACCATGGTACACCTAACTAGCAGGGTGTTTATAGGAGGTGCTAGCCCCGTACGATGGCCAATGCACGCGGAACGGAGGGACGGTCATTCGTGAGCACCGTACTTAAGCTTGTTTTCGTGAGCTTCATGCCTGCGCTTGATTCGTGGCTCCTGCCGCGCTTGCTTCGTGGTTTTCAGCCACATTTGACTAGTTACTTACCCTCGTGGATTGTGTGTCCATGCTTGATTAGTTATTTGCCCTCGTGGACTGTGTGTCTGTGCTTGTTATTCATTATAATAAAGTCCTCCTAGATTTAAATTAAATCTTATCATTTTTAGATTGGTTCTCCAACAGCATTTTTATCAAATTACACTATTATTGAATTTTTTTATTTTATGAGCAGTATAAATTTTAATACATTTATGTGATTCTATTATCATTGTTAAACTTCATGGTTATGTTACTGAGAATTATTGCTAATTAAATGTATGTTTAATTATTTCATTCAATTGTTTTCCAATTAAGTTTATTAGTCACTATCTTCATAAATTTCTATTATTTATTTATAATTTTGATTGAAACGCTACTCACTAGAAATTATTTGGTCTCAGATATTGTAGCTAAACTTGCGCTTCTTGTGGTCTATTGAGGAACCCTATTGTTTTTGGAAGGAGGAAGTGCATTGTGAATATCCGTTTTTGGTAAAATTTTGTATTATATAATTGTACGATAGTGCTCCACGTGTACAATAGTTAGACCCTAGTTTTATTTTGTTGATATATAATTTGCTGGTGTAGAGCTAAGCTCTTTTACTGAATTGACTGATAGGAAAGACTTTGTCAAAATTTTGGGAGGTCTAATTTACAGGAAAGATTTTGTCAAAATTTCTATAGAATATTTAATCTTTTTTTAACTATATAATTATATATATAAATTAGTTATCAATATTTTAGCTTAACCTCATATAATTACGACTTATAGAATATGAATTTATCTTACATTCCATGCTAGTCATATCCTTAATACCAAGGTGTGACATTGTATACATGTTTTAACATATAAAAGCCACACGAATTCGTAAGGGGTTGCCGATGGCTCTTTGAAATAATGCCTCTTTTCAAGAGGAATCCCATAATGTTTCGAGCCTCTATTGGTTTGGTTGACAGTGATAATGAGTGATGACATTACTTTGTATCTTTATCAACTTTTTTTTTTTAAAATTTTGAATAGAGACAAAGGAATAAAGCAACTCAGTGCAACATGGCAAGTCTTTTTTTCTTTTCTTTTCTTTTCTTTTTTCATCATAGTAGTCCTTTAAGAAAATATTTTGTAGTAAGAAATGCCCTTTCTATCATGTTAAGTTTTGTGAAAGGTAATCTAGTTCTTAATTATCATGATAGGATTTTTAATTAATTAGATTATTAACTCTTTTTTTAATGGTAACTCTTTAAATACTATGGTAGCATTTTGAAAATATAAGTATATTTTTTATTTTCATGGTAGATCTTTTTCTACCATAATAAATATTTAATAACTTTAGTTTGAATTAATAAATTATAAATTTGTGAAAAATTAATTTAAAAATTTAGATTGCTAGCCCTACTTTGCTTTAGCATTAGAACGAGCCCCCAAACTCCATTTTTTGACTTTCAAAAAGATTTCAACCCACAAACTAAACCTTTTGCAGCAGCCCGTGTTGGCTGGCAACTTTTGGTAACACAGATATGGCTCCGTCTGAGGATCAGTTATTGCGTAAGTAGTGATTAGATGCATTGACGGTCCCGTCCTCATTCCAGCGAGGAGTGACTCATTGGAGCTTCGTTCACATCAAGGTCTGGGGCAGGCATCCTGCCTTCAATTGCATGATGCGTTCATCTTCTGTTGTGACATATTCCCTCTCTCTTTCTCCTTTATTTTTTCCTTTTATTTTTATTTTTAAAATTAAAAGTATAAAACAAATGCGGCAATAACAGCCATAATCTTCTTGGTCTTACTATACTGCTATCTTGGTGAATGGCGACTAAGGAAGGTTCAAAGGTCAATCCCTTTTCCTTGTTACGTTCTAAAAGAAAAGAGGGGGAAAAACTCAAACTTTATTTTTTAAAATTTTAAACTAGAGTTATTTTAGCCATTTCACTAAAAATTATTAATGTCAAAAAGCTTTGTAGAAATTTAAGAAGAATTATGATATTTCAGAAGACCTTATTATCATTTGCATGTTTCAGGATTGAATCATTTTTATATAAATTCACTTGTAAAAAACTTAATCAATTTCTTCTAAAACATAAATTATATCAGCCGCTGCATAATTTGTGAGTAGAATAAAAGATCATATATGAGGAATAAAATATTTTTAAATATGATACACTTAATAAAATAAATTAAAATTTTTGTTTACTCATCAATAATTTATCTAGTTCTTTTTTATTCTAGTGATGTAATTAAAAAATGAATTATAAGTACTTAAACGAAAAAAGAAAAAAGGTCGTAGGTTCAATCCAAGCTTTCCTTTTTACAGATATAGGTGTGTGAGAGTGAGTGATATACAAGTTTGGTGAAATTTACCGTAACTTTACCATGGAATTGTCACTTTAAGGAAGAAATTCAAACTTTAGTGATTAAAGGGCGATGCTTTGCTTACCTCAATTTTAGTTCTCCATCGTTTAATTTTTTTTAAAGCAATAATTTATTGTGAAGGCAAAATTAAAGTTGAGAACTTCAGTAGCAACTTACTTTATCATGAGGGACCACATTATGGCTAAATTATTCGTTTGCTGTGTGTATATCATGATAAAATATATTTAACATCTATTAAAAAAGTAAATTATTTGAATATATGATATTCCTTCAACACTTTTAAATAGATTTAGATTTAGATTAAATTGTGATTTGATATATCATAATTTTAATTTTCTTTCTCTCTCCTTTAATATTTAGCTTTGTCGCTTCTCTTTGTTATCTTCTCTTTCTTTTATACCCTCAAATTTCCCATGCCTTTTTGATTAGTAATTGGTGTTTTTTTTTAATCGAGAATTTTATTTGAGACATGATCGGTACTAAATATGAATATTTCTTTTAAGAAAGTTCAAACCCTGATTAATCATGTTGTGAAAAATTAGCTCCTTCCATTAGATTTAACCCTCATTGGTAATTTTCCAAGTCTTTTTTCCATTATATATGTCCTCCCTCTCTATCAATTTGATCATAGTTAGTATTTATAAGCTATTTTTAATATGTTTTGTTAAAATTATGAAAAAATTTAAAATTTATTAACCCTATCTAAAAATATAAGAAGCAAGTTTTTAACTTTATTTCTATTAAATATGCATAATTTAAAAACATATTTTTTGCTCACCAACATTTAATATATTAAAAATATATTAAACTATGATAAAAATCAATAACATAACTTATAAATAGGATTAAGAAAAATTTTCTACCCTCTCTTATAAATAAAATTGTAGAAAGTATTTCATAGTCTCTTACTTTTCATCTCTCTCTCTACTCTTATTTTTTCACACTCTTCATAGTTTGTGGACCAGGCTTTTCTCCTAGTGGAGAATATTCTAGCCCCTCTTGCCCTTACAATGTGGGAGTGGGCCAGCATGGTTCTCTCACATACTCATAGTTTATATATGTTTGAAAAATATTTAGGTAGATTAGATGTACCATATTATTTATGATCTGCTCAATTAAAATGCGCAAAGTAATTTAAATAAAATCTTGTGTAATATTTTTTAAATTAATTTTATTTTTATAATAGAATGCATATTTGATTACTTGCATTTTCTCTCTCTACTATCATTAATCTCAGAATTAATTTATATTTAATGTCATCTAAATGTCATGTTCTATTGGACAAACTATGAATGACATATACACTTGGTCTACTTAAGTATTTCTCCATATGTTATCATCTATCAATATTTATGATCAAGTTTCAAGCTAATTTTATCTCAAGAATTGTTGGCATGGAGTCATTAGAGTAAAGAAGTTTCAAGATTAAGTCAAAAATAATTAAGAATGATTTAAGCCATTAAATTCTCAATTAACTTATTTAATTATCTAACTCAATCAATTAATAAGAGAATTCCAGAAAATAAAAATTTAATGTCATGGATTTATGTTAATGTGACTTTTTTTATGCCAATGGTAATTATTATGTGACTTTAAACCACACTATTTAATTTTTAAAAAATGACTTATATCAAGAATGTGTGACTTGTTTATTTTCGTATCATTCTTCTAGCTTTTCTTTTTGAGTTTCAAAGCCATCTTCAAAGTTTTTAAATGAAGTAAAATTATAATTTCATTTACAAAACATAAAATTTGTTTTTGCCCCTGAGATTTCTGAGAAGACTGAAAGGAAAGAGATGGAGCAACAAACTTTTTTCTGGGAGTAATTTTCGTTCTCTTCGCCACGATACAAAACCACACCAGTCAGCAGAGATTTATTAACAGCAAGATACACAGAAACATAAACTGACATTAAACATAAGCAAAAGAAAGCATAAGAGGAATCTTTAACCACCACATGATTTCATGTCCAAACCAGCATAAAAGAAAAGAACAGATCAACCAGAAGGAAATCAAACCCCAGAGCAGAAATCACAGTAAAGACCCGAACTGCAACAACAAGAAGAATAAAAGATTGTCACATAGGATAGATCTAGATCTTGATCTGCTTGCTTACTTCTGTCATGGATGTTTGCCGCGCAATTTACGAAAGTAATCCCTAGGGTTTGCTTCAAAGGCGCGTCTTTCTATGAACTCGCCGGGTCGACCAGGCGCTTTCATAAGGTTTTCAATATCATCAGAAGCATTAGCAGTTCCAGATCTTCCTTTGAATCCATAGTAGCCAACAGAAGCAGAAGCAACAACAGCAACAGCTCCACCAGCTTTGATCAGTAAATCCCTTTGCTTATCAGTTATTCCTCGCTCTCTTAACTTCTCTGCAGCCCAGTTCTTACTCATCTCGATCTTATTTTGAGCCATCTGGTAGTAGTAATTGTCAGGAGGAACACAACTTAATAAGAATCCACAGGCACTTCCAAGTCCGCCCAAGTAGCCATGAGCAGCAGCCTGAAGAAGAGCTCCACCTCCTTTGATGAGTAAATCTTTCTTCTTATCACATGTGGATTTGGATGATTTTTCTTCTTCCACCCAACTCTTGCTCTTTTCAAATCCATCCTTTGCACTCCCAGACAGATTCACATTTTCACTCATGCTCTCAGACGGATTCACACTTTCACTCATGCTGTCATACAAATTCTGTGCGCTCTCAGACAGATTCACATCTTCACTCATGCTCTCAGACAAATTCTTTGTGCTCTCAGACAGATTCACATCTTCACTCATGCTCTCAGACAAATTCTTTGTGCTCTCAGACAGGTTCACAGCTTCACTCATGCTCTCAGACAAATTCTTTATGCTCTCAGACAGATTCACATTTTTGCTCATGCTCTCATGCAAATTCTGTGTGCTCTCAGACAGATTCACATTTTCACCCATGCTCTCATACAAATTCTTTGTGCTCTCCGATATAATGATCATATTTTTAGCACTCCCAATGCACATCTTTGCTCTCTCAGATCAATTTACGGTTTTGGCGTCCTCAATTCATTTTTTCTACTACAACGATACTTCCTTATATAGTCCCGCGGAAGTAAGTAAATATTTTAATAACTTGTCATTTTAAAAATTATGATAATTCCTCGTTCAAAAAAGAGTAAATACATT